CCCTCAGTAAGGACAGTAGTGACTGCACTGATTCCAGATAAGCAAAATGGCTGCAATGCAACTATTTTAGTACGTTTAGTAAACTGGGTTGAGTCACGACACATTTCATCCCCAACACATAAACCGAATGCATCCGATGAAGTGAGCTGTAGCTCACGAAAGCTTATGCTCAAATAAATCTGTTAGTCTCTAAGGTGCCACAAGTACTTCTTTTCTTTTTACATATACGTGTGCTTGTGTGCAAATCATACCAGCCAGGGACAATGCATGGGTTAGTAAAGGATGATGAGCAAATCCCATGCAGCCATTACTCTACTAGTCATCCTGCTTGCACAGAAAAGTAGTATACAAGTGGCCTGTGGCAGGGGATGTCCGTGGAGTTATAGCAAAACCTTAAGATGTACATACTTTGTAGTTTAAGGAGACTGTTTCTTTAATTTTGTAATTAAAATTCATTATATCCCTTAAACTGAGACACCAACCTTTTAAACTAGATGTACCCCTACACTGAAAAGTGTAAATGCACTGTTTATACTTGGCTTAAAAGTATCAAAATCCAAAAAGGAATTATAATAATCTCTTAAATTTAGTTATTAATTCAAACAAGCCTAAATTAAACTGAAGCAGCAAACTATAGAGGGAGAAAATTAAGTCTGTCTGGTTGCACAGAAACTCCATCCAAAGCTCCTCACCAGGCTATTGTTACAAAGTTTACAACAATTAGAACCAGCTCATTTCATGTTTATTCTTGGAAGGCACAACTCAGAGTTAGCTGCTTATTGGAAATAGTAATTTTACAAGTTAACTCTTTATTAAATGTCACAAACCCCAGAGTGGGTTTGTACTGTAATTAGACCAAAAGGCATTTCTTACTTTAACAGTAAAAAGACATTTTTAATGTAACAATATTTCAGATAAAATATTAAATGTTTTTATAACAAAAAAGATGCAAATATTCATTAAAATTGCAATACTTAGAACACACACAACACCTTTTACTTTCAAAGTGCTTTACAACCATTTACCAAATAATATCTCACAACACCCTTGTGAGGAAGGTATTACGCACCATTTTACAGGTGAGGAAATTGGCAGTATGTGATTTACTCAAGACACAAGAGGGGGAATCTGTAAACCATAAGACTAGAACTCAGGAATTCTTGGCTTCCAATCCTGTGCTCAGACCATACATCTCAATACAGTTGTTACTTTTAATTTTGTATAAGAACACCAAAAAAGTTGTTCTAATAAGAGGCAGCCTCCATATAATGATCTGGGTACAACAGGATGTGCAGAGGTTTTGCCTTATTTTTAAGTTTGGTGCAACAGCAAGAACCACTGTAAATAACACTAGATTTCCCCATTCAAGAACTGACCAAACATAGATTTAATTAATTTATGAGATTATCATCGTCATAAACTATTTATATTGCAAGAGCACTTGGGGCGCCATTCATGGATCAGAGACTCATTGTGCTAGGAACTGTGAACAAAGCCCCAAAAGATGAACATTTTAAACTTTTTCTTTCATCTTGCTAATATAATCCATCCTGTTCAGATCAAGAAAAAAACCTTTAGATCTAGTACTTGTGTATTTCAACTACTCAAGTAAAAGAAATGAAATATAATTAAAATGTTGGCAATTAATGTCCAAAGAAGCATGTGTATTTCAAAGTACTTTTGGGAATTGTTCCTTGACACAAAATATTATTTGGACCTGATATTTGATGTAAGTTTTCTTTTTATTGTTTTGTTTATTTTAAACTTGATATTACCTCCAGAAATACATAAAAAAATTGAGCCTGGATTAAGATAATTCAAAACTGGCTATTTAGCAACTTCTTTTCAATAATATAAACTGAATGAAAGCAAACATTTCTAACTACAAGACCATGAATATAAGTATTCTCTACTCTTGATTTTTTGAACAAAGTCCACTTTTACTTGTTTCAGTTTTCCTGTAAAGGTCATGTGCAAAGGGAAAAATGGGGTTGTGCCCTTTTTTGCTTTTTTATGATAAAGCCTTGAATATTTTTTCTGCTTGTTTTTTTTCTTAAGCCTTAAAAGGATGTCCATTCTTATTTCCTTTTTGGTGGTGGACTTCTTGGATGACTCAGATGTGCATAGGAAACTTATTCAGATAATAACTGAATGGGTAGGGGTATTAAATCTTTCCAAAAGTCTCTCAAGTATTTGAAATAGGTGTAAACATAAAAAACCCAAACTCGCAATTTTAAGCAGTCTGGGTAACCATGTCCTGTCTACTAATAAGGTTTCATTTCCTTTGGCCCTGTCTACACACTGAGTTAGCATGCAGCAAGCCAAAGAGTGAATCTACAATGCATCACCTTAGAATCATAGAATATCAGGGTTGGAAGGGACCTCAGGAGGTCATCTAGTCCAACCCCCTGTTCAAAGCAGGACCAATCCCCAATTTTGCCCCGATCCCTAAATGGCCCCCTCAAGGATTGAACTCACAACCCTGAGTTTAGCAGGCCAATGCTCAAACCACTGAGCAATCCCTCCCCCCCTTGCTGTGTAATGTCCCATGTGGACACTTGTACCATTTAGTGAAGGTCCTGGAGTGTGGCTTAGCAACTATGCTTTCAAACAGTAATGTGCTAACCCACACTCCAGGACTTTCACCGTGCTACACTGTTTGTAAGGGTGTCCACATGGGACTTTGTTGTGCTGCAAGCTGATGTGCTGTAGCTTCCCACCTTGGGTTGCCCTGCAATAACTCGCCACATCTATGATCCCTTTCTATCTTTGTCATAATCGTACTAGTTCCTCCACTGTCCATTGAGTCTGTCACAAAGTCTAGATTTCTAAAGTAAAAACAAGCAGGAAAATATTTTCAAAGAAAATCTCCACAAAACTTTCAGACCTACTACTGTAGAAATCAGAAAGAGGAAAAAAGGGCACCAACCTATTTTTCCCTTTGTACATCACCTTTAAAGTAAAACTATAAGAGAGAACTAAAATTTGACTTTTGTTTAAAAAAGAAATTGGGTGAAACAGAAGCAAGCGTACCGGTGAAATGTTTGAGGGGGGGGGGGGGAAAAGATATGAGGGCTATGGCCTACTTTCCATGTGCTGATTTGAACTACACATTGTGGGCACCACCTAGTGGAGACAGGGAGGATTCTTCATCTTGCATTCTTTATTATCTTTATCCCTACTACTGTACGACAGGGTGCTTCCTGCTCAAAGGCAATCCTCCGCCTCCCAGACCAGAGTCACCTTGACTTGAGAGGGTGAGCATGCACCTGAGCTGTTTCTCAGTCCCTTTGCAATGAGAATGTAAACATCGGTTAAAAAAGTTAACTGGTTAAATGTTTAAAATTGTATCATTTAATCGGTTAACCGTTAACCAAGGTTGCTCTGGCTGGCCTGGCGCAGTCCCTCTGGCCAATGGTTAAGGTTGGTTAACCGATAAGCCTAATGCTTAGGTTAACCTTTTACATCCCTCTTTGCAACCCTTATATTCACGGTTGGAGTTTTATCCTGAGTCTCTCATGTATTGTTTTTTGAAAGCCCAGCCCGGGGAGGCCAGTGGTGACAATAGGGCTCTCAGCTTCCAGGTGTCCAAGCTCAATCGGTTTCTCGCAGCTGGCTGCAGGGAAAATCTTGAGCGCAGGGCCGAGCAGAAGGTGAACCCGCCATGGGCTACCCAACGAGCTCCTCGTGCTGGCTGAGCCCAGGGCAGGTTCTTGGGGGTCGGGGGGGGGGGGGTTGCAATTTTTTGACCACTCACTCAGAGATGCTGCTTGGTTTATGCCACTTCTTTCCAACGCTCGCTCTCCCCCAGCCCTGGGGCTGCCAGGTAGGGTGACCAGACAGGAAGTGTGGAAAAATCAGGACGGGGGTGGGGGGTAATAGGCACCTAAAAAGACAAAGCCCCAAATATCGGGACTGTGCCTATAAAATCGGGACATCTGGTCACCCTACCGCCAGGCCGCATCGCCCACAGCTCGGGCTGGCCTCGGTGCTCGGACTGTTACAGCGCCCCGGACCACGCGGGAACTGCTGCCCACAGGGCACGGGCACAGCCGCCTGGGCCTGCGCCGGCTTTGCCCCGTCCGTCCCCCGCACGCCACCCGCGCTCCGCCCTACGCCTCCCTCTCTGCGTCCCCCCACCTCTCACGCCTCGCTCCAGTCCGAGAGCCGTTAAATTACCCGGGACCATTTGAACAGCCTCATAGGAATAATCCGCTCGCGCAAAACGCTGATTGGGTGATCTTCTCGCGCGGTTATTGGCGGAGGCGGCAGAGGGTGGGTAGGGTTGAGTCTGCGTGTCAGGACCTACTCACTTTCCTTGGAAAGGGAGGGGGGAGCAGACATCCATGTACGATGGTTTAACCCGTCCCATCCCCTTCCCAGGCTCGAGCCCTCTGGCCAGGCCTCTACCGCCGCACGCGCGCGCCCCGCCAGGACCCCGCGGGCTGGCAAATATATTGCCTGAGTCCAGGAGACAGACAGTTGTGGTGGGGTTCCTAGGGCGCCCCATAATGCGGCCCAGCGCGCCTACTAGATTTTTGTGAGGAGCCGACGCTCTGTTAGCCGATGCTACCCTTTCAGTCCCGAGGGTCCTGGAGGGATTTCTCTGCTGGCGTTCGCTCTGGAAGGCCGCACACGCCCTGGCGCGAGGGGGCAGGTGTCGGGTCCTGGGGCTAGGGAAAACCCGCCAACTTTCCCGTTGTGGGGAGCGCGGGACTGGGGCGCCCTGTAGTCGCCATAGCAACCAGGGAGGGTGATTCTGGGAGAGCATGCCCCCTCCCGGCGGCACCGGGGCCAAGCGAAGATGTAGCGGGTGAGGAGACGCGGCGCCGGCAGGGACCCTCCCCCCGGGAGTCAGGGGACTCACCCCGTCCCTTGCGGGTCAGGAGCGGGGGAGGGGGAGAGGGCGCCTCCACTCACCTTGGGGCCGGTGGAGTTTGGGGGTTTTCCCGCCCGCCTCAAGATGTGCCTGGGGAGCCTGTAATTCCTCCCCGGGGTCACTCTCCTCGGGGGGAGGGGGCATGGCTGGAATAAAGGGCTTAGTCTGCTTTAGTCTCGCTCGCTGGGTGCGCCAGGGGCCCTGTGGCGCGGGGCAGCGGCCGCTTTCCCGCGTCGGGGCCGAACCCCGCTGCAGGCTCGGGTTCTTAGTGCTCGCAGAAGGTGCTGTCGCTGGGCGGGCTTCCCCGCCACTGAACCCCCAACAACAGCCCTGCTCTCGAGAGCGGGTCAGGCAGGCTCCAGCCCATTCGTCCCTTGGCCTCCCTGCTGGAAATGCCGCACGGGCACCAGGCGGTGTAGACCGTGTCTGCTGTGAGGTGGGCCTGGTCTTCTACACGACACTGAAACGTCAGCGTAGCCCCTTCCAGGCAGGCCCCTGGACACAGCCAGGAGAGACGACCTGGCTTTGGTCATTTCCAACCCCTGCCTAGATTCGGAGTGCTGCAGGTGGAACGGCTCTTGCCCAGTCCTCTGAGCCACGCGGGCCACTAGAAAGTACAGTCATGAACTTTTACTGCATGCATGGCCGCTTCCCATAATAAAAGTAAATGTAACATTATGTATTTGACAGGTGTTACTACCGACTGCAGCTTTCTGTCTAGGGTGATCTTATTCCCCGTCCCCATTATTATTTGTGAGTGAGGAAAAAATGCCAGGTGTATTACCAACTGACGCTACTGGGCTTTTGCGAGGTAGCCCGTCAAAGAAAAACAGGCTTTCCCTGAAGCTTTTCCAAAAAAAAGAAACTAAAAGAGCACTGGATTTTACAGATTCACAAGAAAATGAACAAAAGAGTCCAGAATACAGAGGCTCAGAAATGTATGTAAGAGAAGATTTTCTGATTATAACCTAGGTCAATGCTAAACGTTCTAATAAGTATTTTTATTTTATATCAGAAATAGTTTGTTTAATAATGGACAAGTGGGAGTAAAAACCATCTTAATAAATGGATGTCTTATCAACCTGGCTCTTGAAAACTAAACTGTTATGCTTACTGTACTGCTCCAATAGAGAGTAAATGTCACAAAGCATATTATAATGGAATGCTTGAGTCGGTTTCATCTAACTGAACTGATTTTGGTACTTGAAACCTAATTTAAGAAAATGAGAGGTGACTGAGTTTACACTTATTATGGATGTTAACCTTGCCTGTAGAATGTCTTTTTAACTTGTGGAGAATGTGATCAATATACTAAGCTAACAAAGGATACTTATGCAGATTTACGTACCAAATTATTTTAAACAAATTGATATTCTGGCTTTAGAGAATTTGCAAACAACAAACCTGTTTTTCAAAATGAGATTTAAGTGAGCCTGGGCAAGGTTCTGGATTTTAAAGTCCTATTTCTAGTACTTGTACAAGCATTGGCAGTTCCAGTACTAGCTTTCTTCCATTGCATTTCACCAGTGCCCTCAGTTCCAGAATGAGGCTTCCAACTCACTTCATACCAGCTAATGAAGAGGGTTAGATGGGAAAAGGAAAATTACAACTGCACTGATGACCATTTAATGCGGTTGTTCTGTTACACCAGTGGAATGTGTTATCAGTCTAATGCTTCTGTATTAGCTTTTGCTTGCTTCGTTGCATAATGGGGACTGAGTCTTGCCCTTGGGTTTGTGTGCAGGAATTGCTGTGACTATAAGCTTTTGGTGATGGGATGGGGAAGGGTTAGAATGGAAAGTATACACTGTGGCATTTTTCACTTAGTGCTGCAGTAGCTAAGTCTATGAAAACTCAACCGTTATAGAAGAACTTGTAGGATTTTTTCCATATTTGTTTGAAGGACTTCAGAAAAAACTGCCTGACCAGGTGTAGCACATACGTAGGTGTCCTACCAAATTCACGGTCCATTTTGTTCAATTTCACAGTCAGAGGATTTTAAAAATAATTTTCATGATTTCAGTTATTTAAATCTGAAATTTCATGGTATTGTAACTGTAGGGGTCCTGACCCAAAAGGGGGCTGTGGTGGGCAGGGTTTGCAAGGTTACTGTAGGGGTTCATGGTACTATTACCCTTACTCCTGCACTGCTGCTGGTGGTGGTAGTGCCTTCAGAGCCTGGCAGGCGGAGAGCAGCAGCTGCTGGCTGGGAGCCCAGCTCTGAAGGCAGTGCTGCCAGCAGCAGCGTGGAAGTAAGAATGACATGGTATGGTATTGCCACCCTACTTCTATGCTGTTGCTGGTAGGGTGCTGCCTTCAGAGCTGGGCGCCCTGCCACCCTGCTCTGAAGAAAGCGCAGAAGTAACGGTGGCAATTCTGTGACCCCCGCCACAATAATCTTGCAACCCCCCCACCTTCCCCAACGTGCTTTAGGTCAGGACCTCCAATTTGAGAAACGCTGGTGTACCATGTGAAATCTGTATAGTATAGGGTAAAAGTACACAAAACATCAGATTTCATGGGGGAAACCAGATTTCACGGCCCATGATGCGTTTTTCATGGCTGTAAATTTGGTAGGGCCCTACACGTGGGTATTGTACTATTCCTGGAATATCTGTGTGCTTATTGCAAATCTTTTTGCATAAATTCCTAGAAAATACTGTTTCTGTTGAGTGGTTCCATCTTTGCGCATACAGCATAGCACGAGTTTCAAAAACTGGTAGTTTTGGTACCATCTATGATCTGTTGACAGTATACAAAGATTAATTTTATATAGTAGTGTAAGGGCCAGATTTTTAAAGGTATTTAGGCACCCAACTCCCTTTAAAAATCCAGCCCTAAGTGTTAAAATATGTTTTGTAAGAAGTTAATAATGTGAAGGACAAACACTTCAAAAGGTCAAGGAGATGTATATGCATGTGTTCTAAGATATTTAAAAAAAAAAAAAGCCTTGCTTTCTATTACATACTCTCTTCTCTGTTTAATAGTGATCAGGTTGTTCCTGCAGCACAGCCTCCTTCACCCATTAGTTGTGAGAAAAAAGACAATATGCTGCCTTTTGTGGGCTTGAACAATCTTGGCAATACTTGTTACCTTAACAGCATACTTCAGGTAAATTCATATTTTGGGGATTGGAAAAGATATTAGTGTTGTTGTTGTTAAACATTTTATACAAGCATTTTAGACTCCTAGTTTGACGAAGTATTGGGTAAAAATGGGACTGAAGGGAGATACCACACACTCAAGGCAGCCAATGGTGCACATGTATCTATATCTGATACTCCTGCTCACGTGCAGGAGTAATTGTTTTATAAAGAAATTACTGCGTTGCCCTAAAGGTTTGCTTCCAGGATTGGGCATGAGTTGACCAGACTTGTTCTCTGACCACACCACTTTCCTCGTTTTGCGTCATTGTGCCAAGTTGGGTGCACGAGTGGAGGCAGAACTTGGTGGTGTAAATCGCTTTGTATTCTGCAGAGGGATGCAGATTGCCCTTTAATTTAATAAAGCAAAGTTCCATCCAACACTAATAGTTGGAATATTCTAAGGGATGCTATCAAGTAGTTGAAACTCTCAATTTTATTATTTGTTTTCCAATTTATGAAATTTAAAAAAATAACTAATTTGAATCTCTTAAAACTGAAGCACTCCCCTGCAATGTTGGAAACTCTATCTTTGTACTAGTGCAGGAAACTAGAAAGACAAACCGATGACTAGTCACTTCTCTACACAAGTTTAAAAAGTGTAGTAAAGTGAAAAAATAAACAGTATAAGTGATGAAAATGAAACAACTGTTTAGTTTACTTTTCAGTCATTCATGTTAACTGACTTATCTTCTATCCCTTTAACCACTTGGGTGGAATTTTCAAGTGCCTAAGGGAGTCAGTTGCCCAATTCTTATTAAATTTTGAAGCTTTAAAATCACTGGGAGTTGGACATCTGACTCCCTTTGGCATTTTAAGTATTATTAGTGAGACTTTTTCAAATTTCCACCTTAGTTTTAGTTAGTGGAGATAACTATATAAATAGTCGGGGAATTCAAAAGTAAGCTTTTCACTACAGCTATGCATTCCTGAATATCAGCAATATTTACTCTCACTGTACTGTAAAATGAGTGTTGAGTAGCAGGGAGAAGTTTAACTTTTGAAGGATGGTCTCATGGTTAAATTGTTGGGCTGAAATTTGGTAGACAAGGTTCCCTGATCTGCAACAGACTTCCAGTGGATGTTGGATTAAGCACCTAATCTTTCTTCCTCAATTCCTTACCTGTAAAGTGGAGATAGGAAAGAATTATCTCACAAGGACTTTGGGAGGATAAATTCATTAATGTTTGAGGTATTACGGTGTTTATGACCTCCATTTCCTCAAATGCCACAGTGATTAGAACCACATAAGTACCTAGGTAGAACTTCTTTACCTTTGTGCTTAAGTTTTTAACACATTTTTATATATACATAAAATATTGTTTTTAAATTGTACTCTACCTATATTTGCAAAGTCTGGACCTTCAAGGTTTCTGCATCCTTGCGTGCTGTGTAACAACCTAGGAGATGCAGAAGCAGATCTTGGCCTATGTGCATGGACTTTAATATTCGCTTTAACTTTAGTTTCATGTACAACTTTTGCTAACTTTACAGGTTTTTTTTCTTTTTTTTTTTTCTTGTTTTATACTGCTAGGTGTTATATTTTTGCCCTGGCTTTAAAACTGGAGTGAAACACTTATTTAACATTATTTCAAAGAAGAGAGAAATGTTAAAGGATGAAGGAGAACAAAAGTCAGACAAGGTAAATTTTATATGTATCATTTGATCTTTCTTTAGCTGTAATTATGCAAGTAAAAGCAGCATAAATTAAAGTGTCATATCTTGGTATATGTAGGGGCACACAGTAAAGAGCTTTCTTTAACTTCCTGTTGAAGAAAATTTACCTTTATTATAGTGGAATAATTTTTGACTCATTTACAACTTATAACAGTGCTCTTCAAAGTTATTTCTGGAAGGTTTATAAGTAAGACTGCAAGTCTTTCACGGAGGTCACGGAAGTCAGATTCCGTGACTTTCTGGGACCTCCGTGACTTCCGCAGCTGCAGCGGCTAACCTCAGAGTGGCAGCAGGACCCAGGCCGACCCCCGCCCTAGAGTTATTTTGGGGCTAGAATATCCGGTGGAATCTGTTCGTTTTTCATATTCACTTTCTACAGGCAAAGAAGCAATATATTTAATGTTTCAAGAAGCACCTGCTTCCATCCCTTTAACTGATAGAAATGCTGTCAATGACTGACAGAAAAGGGATGAAGGAGGCAGGGTTAAAAACCTTCAACTGTTGTATTCAGAGGCAAAAGCTCAACTATTGTCTTTTCTTTTATGATTACAGGGAAGTTGTAAAGAAGATCCTTTGGCAAGTTATGAACTAATCTTCAGTTTGCATTCCTTGATTCTTTCAGTGGAACAGCTTCAGGCCAGCTTTCTATTAAATCCAGAAAAATATACAGATGAACTTGCTACTCAGCCAAGAAGGCTACTAAACACACTTAGGTATAAATAATCTTAAATGAAATGTCGGAATTTTCACTGAAATTTGAGCTGATTATAATTTGTGTATTACAATTTTAAGAAAAAGTTGGGGGTTGATGTTCTTAAATTTGATACACCAGCGTAGGAAATGTGTTTTTTTTCCACATTCCATGCAGGGGATTGCATCAGTTCTGCTGCTCAGTAGAATTCTCTAGCAGCCACATAATGAAACTGATATAATCCCAGTCAATTTTACTGTGGGAAGGTGGCCCAAGATAAAATTTGTGCATCTACTGTTTCAGCTATCTCTTGTCGTATCAAAGTTTAGAGCTAAGATTACAGGCCTTGATCCTGTAAGGTTCTGAGTACTTTGGCCCAGATCCAGCAAAGCATTTAAATACGTTTGTCACTAGGACTACACAAATGCTTTAATTTAAGTATGTGCTTAAGTGCTTTGCTGGATCAGGGCTAGAGTGCTCAGCACCTTGCAGGATTCAGTCTGTGAAATGGCCATTTGCCCCTAGCCTCCTTTCCATGGCTACCTGTGGTACATGGACCTTCTCTTCAGGCCTGGACTTTTTATCCAAACATCCCTAATTTTGAATCTCAAATCATATTATAGTTAGCTACTTAGTAAATAGTCTGCAGTGGTGAATGTCTATTTTTTTATTCTTAATCCAGTGCCGAAGTAGTTCTTAAAACTGCTCTGCTTTTTGTCAATTGTAGCACTTAATGGGGATGGGCATTATTAAATAATTGAGGTAAACTGATGTTGTTTATTGATAATACACCTGGACATTGATCTTGTGGTATTGTTCTATCACAGAAAGGCAGTGTCTAGAAAATAGAGAGGGGACACAAGGAGTTAGGACATGTGGGTTCTATGCCAGACTGCCTCCAAATTATGACATTGGTCAAGTCAATTCACTTCTTTGGCCTCAGCTTTCTCATCTGTAAAATGTCCAGAAACATTTATTGCACATGAATATTGTGAGGTTGTGTCTGTATTTATATATAGTCTTTCAGTTGAGAACATAAGTGTTTTACAAACTAATACATCTGTATCAATCCTTTAGTATTAGTTTCTTAACGTCTATTGGAAAAGGTAGTCTTATGTTCCAATATTTTCATCCTTTTGCGATTAACACAGAAGTGCTACACAATTTTGTATTAGTTCCTGAAACGATCAGATCCTTCCTCTTTGACTCTTCTTGTGTTTCCACCCCAGTCTGTGGACTCTCTCACTGCCAGATGTAAATTAAAAATATAAAATCTGTGTAGGAGTTCCATTGTAACACAATAACTGATCAAGTGGTAGTCTCCAGATGTATCATTTCAAAACTATATAACACTTCCCTTTTTCTTTATAGAGAACTTAACCCTATGTATGAAGGATATCTGCAACATGATGCCCAGGAAGTATTGCAGTGTATTCTTGGTAACATCCAGGAAACGTGTCAGATATTGAAGAAGGAAGAATTGAAAAATATGCCAGTGGAAGAGCCTGTAGCTCACTTGGAGAAGTCTAATCAAAATACTGAAAGCAATGGCATTAACAGCCCTGTTGAGGAAAATGACTATGCAACAAGCAGTCACACTGCAGAGGGTTCTGAAGACAAACTATCCAAAGGAATTGGGAAAAGGAAAAGTGACACTGAGAGTGGGAATGCAAAGAAAAAATCTAAAGTATCCAAGGAGCATAATGCAGTAGAGGAAAATCAGAGACAGACCAGATCAAAGAGGAAAGCAACAGCGGAGAAACTAGAACATCCTACGGAAGCCATTGATAAGTATTCTATTGAAAATGAGATTGCAAAGCCAACACAGAAGAAATCACGACTTAAATTAAATTGGTTTAAGTCTTCAGGCAAACAACCCAGCATTCTGTCTAAATTCTGTAGTGTCGGAAAGCTAGCAAACAACTTGGGATCCAAAGAGCAGATGAAAGAAACTGATGCCTGGGAGATTGAAAAGGCATCTGTAAAGTGTGAAAATGGTAATATAAAAGAATACTGTGAACTTGCATCCCCTGTGGAAAGTGCTGGTGAAAAAGGAACTGAAAAACCACTACAAGAAGGTTAGTAAAAGTGTGGGCTTAATGTAAACACAGTAGGACTAAGAAACCACTACATCGGGGAAGTTGGTGCTCAAATACCATAGTGAGGATTTGAAATCTATTTTTCCTTAAATGGAAAATTTCTACACCCAATGTAATCCTAGATTTTTTTTTATATATATATATATATATAAAAATACCTGACATACAGATGTATCTAAGACATAGAATAATAATTAGAAATTAAAGCATGAACAGAAAATAAGGCTCATTGTAGTAATGCAATGTAAAAACCTTAGAAGAATGCCAAGTTTATACTTGTATTACCTCTTGCTAATTTATAATGTAGAATGTGGGTTGTGAACTTGAAAAGTCCACAAGTGTTTGTTCCGCACAAGAGAATTATTTATCATTAAGGTTAATGCCAACATATACACAATCCATGAATGATACAAAACAAATTACCCAAGATGAGACATTTTCAATAAAGGATAAATCTAGAATCTAATCTTAAAATAAAATTTGAGTATTTCAAGATCAAGATTTTTTTTTCATATGCTTTATTCAATATACAGTCGTCATGTGCTGGTTTTTATGGTCTGTTAAATATTATAATACAAATGAAGGAATGTGAATATCTAAAACTGAGACCAAGTCTGTTGTACTTAATGCCAGTTCAGGAAGAATAGTACCAATAACTGTCCTTAATGTACTACTCTGAATAAGAACTTTATTGTTAATATAAACATAATCTATTTAACTTTTTCTAGGTTCAGAGTTAGCTGTGTTTGAATTAGTGGAGAAACTGTTCCAGGGTCAGTTGGTATTGAGAACACGATGTTTGGAGTGTGAATGTTTTACTGAAAGAAGAGAAGACTTTCAGGACATCAGTGTCCCAGTACAAGAAGATGAACTTTCTAAAGCAGAAGAGAGTTCTGAAAGTAAGTAACAGTAAAGGGTCACAATATACATATCTGATTCATACATTTATAGTTTTGGGGTGCCCTTGATGTTTATAATGTTACTAGAAAATGCTTTTGGTCCTGGCCACGTCAATATCTTATGATTTTCTTTAGAATTGGAAACCATAGCCTTGATAACATGGATGGATCCAAAAAGCATTTAAAAAGTTATTTTAAATTCACTCTCCTGATATGACACAGGTGCTTGCAATCCTTTTATTCATTTGAATGGACACTATCAACTTGAAAGAGCATTTCTATCTGGATTTTTTTTTTTTTTGCCTAATGTATTTATAACTAACCCCTCCGAGTAAAATGTTAGGGAAATATTTTTTTCCAGCTTGTTTTGTGCATCTAACAACTTGGTGTATATAGTCAATTTTAGTTCCTTTCTCACAATTGATCAGTTTGATAATGATGATCGTGGGCCTACCCTTTCTCCCTTGTTGTAAAAAATCCTTTTAAGGAGCAAGGAAGTAGAAAACCCCATATCTAACCCTTTGAGAAAAAACAGGATATATACTGCATGAAGCATGCTCAAACTTTTTTTAAGTTTCAGTTTGAAAATGTAAATTGTCATTGTTCCTTTAGAGTGTCACCAAGATACTATGCATTTTATATTTTTGTGTATTTTCTCTCTCAAATTATATTGGTGTTTCTTGTATGGTGTCCCTAAGGCTACTTCACAAGTATCGATGATTCATATTTGTTTTATGTGAATTTTCCAAAACTGATGCACGTATATATTAACACACTAAAATTTATTTCAAAGTTGTAAAAACTGATTTTAAAAACTTCTAAATTCAGGGTAGTAAAGAAAAGGTTGTTTTAACTCCCAGTGATGTAATTTGGGGGAGATTTTACTATTCCTGACTTCCTATTACATTAGGTGGGGAAAGATGAAAATATTAATGTTGAATTAAAATAGACTAAACCTAATTCCAATTAAGTTTTCTTTTTTAAAGATTTAAAAGTTACTATCCCTGCAGATGTTGGCAGTGAAGCTTTTTTATATATATATATATATATATATATATTTTTAAATCTGGTTTAAAGCTGTGAGTGCAAGCCAGACATGACAGGGAAGAGAACTTGCTAGTTATTTTGGAAACCTACCTACCTTTTAAAAATGGGCCAAATTCTGCTCTTAGATACGTGTGCACAATTCCTAGGGAAGTCAGTGGGAGTTGTGCACTTGTCTTATCTCAGCCTTTGAAGACCCTTTGTTTAAATCTGAAATACAGCAGCACACCAACTGTTTTTCAATCTGAGTTAATCTACATCCTGGGTAGTATCTCTCATTTTTGCACTTCCTGAAATTCAGTGAGCAGAGATGATTTGCTTATCTTGGTTTTCAGTCTATTTGGTGCATTTTTAATATTCTTAACTTTAATACTAGTTCTTGCAAGTGTCTTAACTTTTATAGCTCTGTTTTAAAATTCTTGTGGTATATATTGGAAATGTAAATAACTATCTGTAATAATTCTCTTTTGTAGTTTCTCCAGAGCCAAAAACAGAAATGAAGACCCTAAAATGGGCAATTTCACAGTTTGCATCAGTAGAGAGGATTGTGGGAGAGGATAAATATTTCTGTGAAAACTGCCGTCATTACACAGAAGCAGAACGCAGTCTTTTATTTGATAAAATGCCTGAAGTTATAACCGTTCACTTGAAGTGCTTTGCTGCTAATGGTTTAGAGTGAGTATTGCAGATAAACTATATTAAGAAACAGTGCTGCTGGAAGAGAAACCTTGCCAAAACAGATGCAAAAGTTTAAATAACAAAACTTGTTTGTAGCCTGAATTTAACTTTGAAAAATCCCTTGTGAAAACAGGAATACAAGTAGTTTATTATTTAGCTGTTTAGCACAGGCTCTTCATATTTTAGCAAGCCACAAAACAATTTTCTCAGTGTTTAGATTACCAAGTTTTGTAATACCCTTGTGAAAGCTGGCGAAAATATTCTCAATGTCTCATGCCAACATTATTGTTTTTCTTGTGTTCCTAATGGAGCTTGAAATTTTTTGGGGGGGGGGGGGAGTAAAACTTGTTTACTTGCTAATATCAACTATGGGGATAGGGATAGGTTAACTATTTCAGGATAGGTAGTTAAAGCTACAGAGCATAAAACTGGATTTGGCAACTGTAGATGGTAGAGATTTTGTCACAGAGGGAGTAGAAGACATTTTAGAAAGAAAATATTGGAGATTAGCCTCCCAAGTTCAAAACATATTTTTAAGGTATACCAAATTTGGACCATAGTAATTTGACTATGTCTTTGACTTTTAAAAAACTCAACTAAATTAATTCAGTTACTATAAGTCCCATTTATGTCCATACCTGTAGCTGAGCATTGGCAATATGCTCTTATACTATGTAAATCTTTATTTTGCTGAAAAGGTTACCGTGCCTAATTTCAATATCTACTTTTTCTTCCAAATTTATGAATGTGAATAAAAATATTCTAGCAAATAGAAATGAATATGAATAGTACAATAACAGTACACATCTGAGAATTGGCTACAGCAACATACTTAATACAATTGTTTTGGGAGTAAATTGGAAAAGCGCTTGAGCAAGTCACAATAGCACTATTCAGATCTCTGTAGAGAAATAACCTTACGGTGACAGAAGGCCACATCTGAATACATTTTCATTATATTGTGAAATGTATTAAGGTTATTTGTTGTAATCATCATCCAACCACTAAATTGGAAATTTAATGATATAGCATTACTGAGCTCACTTACAGTTTTTCATATGTTGAAACAACATATGCAGATTTGATCTGGCTTTCCAGCCCTCCCAGTATTATAAATTACAAGTGATTACTTTCCTGCCACCTGCATCATTTCCTCAGGAAGCAGTAAACGGACAAACTGCTTATTGTCTCAATATTCCACCACTTTACTTCAGTCCTAGAACATGTTCCTGCCACTCAATACTGCACAGAATCAGAATTCAAGATATTAAATGAAATTACCCAATGTTACAACTTCACTTACTGATTTAGGATGTTTTAGAGGTTGAAGCATGAGGCCTGGGAATCAGGAGATATATTCTGTTCCAAAAATCTGTTAGAAGCTTCCTGTGTGACCTTGAACAAGTCACTTAATTTCTTAGGGTTTTAGTCCCGATCTATAAAATGGGGATAATACTTTCATTCAAGATGTATTTTGAAACTTAATTAAATGTTTATAAAGTGCTTGGGGAATCTGCAGGTGGAAAGTGCTAGGAGTAGCACAAAACATGAATTGACAAATGAGTGGTGATAGGATACACTGTAAACAGTTACTGATGGCAACTTTATGTACATATATTTATAGCCAATATAAATGTCTGTTTGTAAAATAACCACATTTTCAAAGGGTTATGTTACAAAATTTTGTCTGGTAATCTTCTGAGCTCCTAAATAATGAATTTCTCTCAAGTGCCCATGAGTGCTGTAGGAATCTTTAGCTTTCTGGAGCTGTAGAAATGAAAATCCAATCACAAAATAAAAAAGCCTAATTGATGGAATTAGAGCAGAATTCTAATGAAGGTACCTCAGTCTTCTGCTTTATTGCCTCCTCTTCAGTAGTCCATTCGAGTTGTAAAATGTTTACCTTGCATTCTTGTACGTATTCCTTGATATGCAAACTAATTTTAGGCATGTCTTTGTTTTAATTAATATTCTGAGTCAGACGGAAGAGCCCATACGTTTCTGATCCTTCTGCAAGCAATTCAGAAATAAAACTATAGGGGGTTTTTGTCACAGGGACCCTCAATATTTTTGATCCTCAGTTTGTTTATAAGCTTAAACAACACTTTGTCTTCCTTGAGGATTTAGTTAGCAATTTCCAGGTGACATAGACATTTTCCAAATGTCGTATCTTTTTTTCTTCTGTCCTGGTGATCTTCAGATCCTCACTCAAAAATATTCACCCTTCCATCCAGGCAAGTGATGCTATTTTGAACTGAATCCAGTCTCCTCATTTTCCCTTTGAACGATCTTGAATGCTTTCTGCAAAGGTATCGTCAGCCAAAGTGCAAGGAAGTAAGATCAGAGATCAAACTTAATACTGGAGTCAGGGATGCAGCTGAAACTGTCTGGAAAGTTTATTCTAAGGTTCCACTTTTTGGTTTCAGCATTTTAACGTGGAATAGCAATACAATATCGAAATCACTAGGCTTGGAAGAACAAAAGACACCTGCAAAACAAACAAGAACTGCCAAAGACAGTGAGCCAAAACACTGTCTTAGGTCACACCCATTGGGAGCCTTTCTAGTTTATACATGAGAAAGTCAGCTCCTTTCTAATCTGGCTGGAAGAAAAAAATAGGACAACAAGAGTGAAAGCTGAGCAATTGAGAGAAGAAGGGATTTTTAATCGCTGTTTAAAATTTTGGATTTTTAGTTAACATCTAGTTAGTGCCAATAATTAACATTTTAGAGAGAGGAAATCTTGGTTAAAGATTCAGTTTCACCCTTCTAGTTAAGTTGTGTGTTAATACACATCCTTTGAGTCCCCCAATAATTTTTTTAGTGATACTGGGGAAGACCAGAATTGACATTCCTATTATTTATAAGTTATAAAACAAGCAGAAAAGTTTTCTGTTGTTAAGTGTCTATACATTGGAGTAGCAGAAAAAGGCTAGAAACTTCCCCCCCATCATTTGTAGGTCACACAAAGAAAAATGTGAAATGACGCAGTAATCTAACTTTACCATTTTTCTTTCAAAGGTTTGATTGTTATGGTGGACTGTCAAAGATAAATACTCCCTTATTGACACCTCTTAAATTGTCACTAGAAGAATGGAGCACAAAGTCTACTAATGATACCTATGGATTATTTGCAGTAGTAATGCACAGTGGCATTACAATTAGCAGTGGACACTACACTGCCTCTGTCAAAATTACAGATCTTAATAGTTTAGAATTAGACAAGGGCAATTTCATCACTGACCAGATGTATGAAGTGATTAAGCCAGAACCACTGAATGAGGAGGAAGCAAGAGCTGTTGCTGAAGATTATGATGATGGTGAAGTCTCTTTTAGAGTCAATGGAAATGCACAGTCAAGTAAAACTTTGAGCAAAAAGAATATGGAAGCTGTTGGACTTCTCGGAGGACAAAAAAGTAAGTCTGACTGTGACTTGTACAACAACAAAGCAACTAACCCTGATAAGGTTGTTAATACACTAACTGAAAATAAAAATTTTGAGTCTACCAGTACTAATGGGATCTTGGAGTTTGATAAAAGTACTGAAAATGGTGATCAAAATGGTATAGCTTTCAGTGGACTAGAAAACAAAGCTTTGTATGTGTTACAAAGCTTGAAGGAATATGAGGGAAAGTGGTTGCTTTTTGATGATTCTGAAGTGAAGGTTACAGAGGAAAAGGACTTTCTGAACTCTCTCTCCCCTACATCGTCATCTACATCAACTCCTTACCTTTTGTTTTATAAGAAAATTGTAGAGTGATACTGTATTTTGTAAATATTACAGATTTGCATACATCTGTTGATGTGCTTTTTGCATCAAGATTACCTTGATGTAACAGCTGTTTGTCTTTTGAAGCTACTGGATGATATTATTATAGATCTTACAATTCTATGTAAACAGCACAATTTGAATTAACAAACCATGTCATAGAACTTTAACTCCTACTATAACTTCTGTGCTGCGGACTAGTGATGTCACCTTCTAGGAATACAAATCTGTATAGATTCTTAAAAGATGTCCAAAAATACAGTCGTGGCTTTTAAATAACTAGTTCTGTCACACCTGACTTGTGTATTATTAGCTTTTTTTTAAAAAAAAATAAAGTTATTTGTATTCACATTCTGGAGTAAATTTATATTAACTAGTAAAACTCATCAGAGGTTGTGTATTTTTGTAACACTGGAAGCAATATTTCATATCTAGTCTTTGGGGCATCAGTACAGGGCACAAAGTAACAGCTATAGCTTATTGATGACCTTCTCTCCCCCCCCCAAATATCTTTGCTGTGGTGTTCAAAGTACAAAAACTAACGAGGTCTTGTTAACTCATTTAGTGGATTTGAAGGAGTGGTACCACATCTTAAAGTTTAACTTAATAGTGGATGTGATGCATACTAAGATTCTTTATATTGCAAGTATTAACTGATTCCTGTTCATAAAGATTTGAATGAGCAAACCTGCATCTGTTTTACATAGGTGTTAAGTAGACAAAGTGTAAATATGTGTGATATTGTAGGTATACCAGATGTATTTGTGGGAGAAAGAAAGCAATTCAAATTGCTGATCTGTATGCAGTGTAATAAAGTATTTTGTATTTTAAAAGCCTTCTAATTTGCATATGTGTTTGGGTGGATTAAGAATTGATCTTATTACCTTAACAGACTAATTTGTACTGAGAGCTCACTGAAATATGGGAAAACTAAAGCATTGGCTTGATAGTGTGTGTACATAGATGAATGAAATAAAAACATAAAACGATATGCATTAATTTTGTCTGAGATGAATAGATCAGATTATGTGTTTGAGAGCTTCTATAGCTCTGGCATTACTCTCTCTCCAATAGTATGGCACAAACACATCCTGCTTCTTTGATCTTTCCTCAAGGGATAAATGTTAACTAAAATTGCTTAGTTATGGCAATAACAAGATAATTACACTGGACAAAATTTAAGCAGAAATGAACAGCATTTCTGATCCATCTCTTAAGTTTTAAGGCCTACAGTAATTCATATGTTAAACTGTCAATAGTCAAAGGAGTTTACCAATAAACTTTAGGAAAAAGAAGAATAATTTGTCCCAATTAGGACTAGGGTGTTTGCCGGCAAAGGCAAAGATTATTTTGAATAGGTGCTAGAAGAAGTCACTTAAGGTAAGATTCTGCTGTTGTCTGCCGGAGTCTGCCAGAGCACCTTAGCAGTGTTCTGGATCGTTCTTATTAGGGGCAAGGCCACCATAGATGGACCCTCTGGGGCAAGGATGTCAACCATCAGGTCTGACTCTTCCGTGACTTCCTCTGCCTGGAGATTCAGGTTTAGGGCCACCCTCCTAAGAAGGTCTTGGTGTCCATTGCCGGAAGCGGGGTGGTGGTGCCCACCACCGCCTAGTCTGGCGAGGAGGAGGCACGTGGGACAGGGTCTTCCTGCCCTTCTGGCTCTCTGGAGGCTGGGTCAGGTACTTCAGAGCCCCCCGGTGACTGGAGGTGGCTCCAGTACAAATGATGGTGCTGGTTCAGGCGCTGCACCTGAGTGTGACAGCCCAAAGTCTCTGTCTCGGGCGGGGTCCCATGGAGCCCTGGGGGTGTGGCAAGCCAGCAATGTTGCTGAGTCACCTGTGCCCGACTACTGGGGGGGCAGAGCCCAACAGTGCCAGGGAGCGGTACCAGGGTGATGGTGAGTGGCGCCGTAACATCATGGGCTTGCCGCGATGAAGAAGCAGGGGCGGTGCCGCCATCAGTGCCGGAGCCATAGGCAGTGCCGGGATAGATGCTGCAGCCAGTGCCAGCGTCGGAGCTGCTGACAGGGCCTGAGCTTGCGGAGCTGGAGCTCGCATGTGCGGGGCTGGGGTCTGCAGCATCATGGCAATGAGGTCCCGTGCAGCCTCCTAGGTATCCGGCGTGGAGGGGAGGTCAAGCTCTTCCTCCAAATCCTCCCAAGTTGGGGAGTCCACCAGCACTGGACTCAATGGTGCCGGGTTTTGAGGTCCAAACCGTGGGTGTCCCGCTGGAGGACGCATCCCGGTGGAATCCCCTCGTGGCTTCTTGACTGGTGAACAACCCCTGTCCGTCTTCTTTTTCTTATGCGGTACTGGGGCCTGTGAGAGGTGCCACCTGGTAGCACTGGCCTTACAAGCTAGGGAGCAGCGCCGTGCTCCTTGGAGGAGTCTTTTCTCGGTGCTGGGACATCCCTCGCCGGGCGCTGTGCACCGATGATGCCGGTGCTGTTCCGGTGCCGACTGGGGACGGAGGGCTGACTCCATCAGGAGGAGCTTTAAACAATAGTCCCACTCTCTCTTAGTCCTGGATCTAAAGCACCTTCAAATTGGGCACTTATCCGTCTGATGGCTCTCTCCTAAGCACTTGAGACAAGCAGCATGCGGATCGCCTGTGGGCATAGGTTTCACACACCTCTCGCATGCCTTAAACGCCTGTGACCAAGGCATGCCGCGGTGCTTGGGGAAACCGCCCCAAAGTAAGCCCAACTAACTACAAACGACTATAACTAATTACAACTAAGAAAAGGGAACCACGAGGTAGGCACTTGCGAATGCAAGAGACTGAGCTGCTCCAAAGAGGGTCACTGGTGGTAAGAAGAAACTGAGCAGGCGGTGGGTCAGCAGGGACCTATATACACCGCCATGAAGGCGCCACTTCAGGGGTCTCCACAGCTGACCCAATGGGTACCGCTAGGGGAAAAACCTTCCGATGATCATGCACACAGCGCACACATGCACCTATTGGAATGCACATAAGCAATCACTCAAAGAAGAATAAATGCTACTCTGCTCTTAACTGGTGTTAGCTAGATATCAACAGTGAGTTCATGAGAATTGTACCTATGTATCTGAGGGCAGCATTGGGCTTAATGAAACACACACATCCCGTTATGGCAAACTAATCTTTAAGTGAATGTTTGTTCTCTATGTGGAAACATCATTGCAAGTACTAGCCAGAACTCAATCCAGTAGCTCTGGGCAGAAAAGAGGTATTTGTTCACAGATTAAAGGATTTACAGGCAATTGGAGTGGGAGGATTAAAACAAAGAATCTATACTATTTTCTATTCTGTAACCCCTCTGTGGGCTGGCATTTTACAAAGCCGTGGTAAAAGCACAATATATATTTTACATCACACATAATCCTAGAGATTAAAACTTCAAAAGGTACTATCATTGACAACTGTTGAGGGGACGCAGGAGTCCACTAATCAATTAGGAAAGACAAGGACTAAAACTCAGCCCTTACTGTTCTAACATATGAAATATCCTGCATTCTTTGAAGTACAATGAAGTCCTTTCCTGATTAAATCTAGGCTGAAAACCATCTTCCTATCAAACACTTCATTATGACTATAGTGGAAGATGTCATATTTTCCAGTCTGCTCTTAAAAGTATGATGCATACATAATAGGATCAGTAACTTATATCTGTTGTCATGACAGTGGGGGACATGGAAACTTTATAGAAAAAAATCATGTCTGGAGCATTCTCCATAGAGAATTATAGTATGCCCTCATTTCTAGCTCATATTTAAAATTATCCTTGTGTAAGGAATTAAAACTATAAGTTAGCCTATGCATCACAAAAGAAAGGGTGATAAAGCTTTAATCAAACTTCTGCAAAACTAAAATTATCTTCAAGGTGGGTAGGGCCCCTAGTATGATTTAAACATAGCTCAGTTGTGCAGGGCAAATAGGATAAAAATCTATTAATAAACATGCTTCAGCCTTGGAGAGATGTAGGTCTGTAGTGTTACTGAGGAACACATTTAAAGGTGGCTTGGTAAATATACTTATGCTAATATAAGCTCTTTATTATTTGAATAAGTCTATAATGAGGCTTTTTCCAAAAGAGAGAAAAATCTGGCTCTGCATACCTCTTGATGCCTTCTTTCTCCACAGTAGGTATCAACAGAGTGACTGAATTATTTGGTCTAAAACAAGAATTGTCCAATCTGTGTATAATCCTACCCTGCAAAACTGGCACAATCAAAAAGCTCCTAAATATAAAACATCCTACCACACAATCCTACAACACCTAGTGTAGGGCTCACTTAATTTCAGCCTGCAAACGAAAATACATTTTGGTCCATAAAGGGATTACAGCCCTGAAAGACTGTTTCCTTAATATATGTCCTTCAATCAGTCGCAGCCACAACAGGATATTGAAACAATAATTTTACATGGAACAAAGACTACAATACAACCAATGCTAGATCCAGCTCTCTTCCATAATTACATGCAACAGCTGTAGAGAAACATCTTCATTTATAAACAATCAAGCATTTTACATGAGCCTACTGAATACTGACTATGAATGAAAAATATCCTCTGGCACAAGTTTGGAACAGATCTATCAGATGCTTACTCGCCTAAAGCCATTTCTACCATTCCTGAAATGTCAATTTGCAATAGTTGAACAAATGCAGTTTTAAATTACTCAGACTATTGTTTCTCTGCAACTGAAAATAAATAGGTCAGAATTACTATTTAACTTTACAAAATGATACATACGGTAATTCTCCATCACAATTTTTAGATTAATCATCTAAATATAAAATCATCTAATCATCTAAATATAAAAACTGTCTGAATCTGGGATAACCTCTACAGATTTACACTGACTTGGGGTCCTAGTTTTACACCCATTGTAGTTAGTGGAAGTCTTTCCACTGATTACAGTGGGTTTAAGATTGGACAACGTCCCTTCACATGTGAATGTATAACAGAACATTGTATGTAATGAGTTAATTATTTTGGGGCTATTTACCTTTCCTTCTTGATTCTTAAATATCTCTACAATGAAGGAAGAAAATAAGTACTTGTGGCACCTTAGAGACTAACAAATTTATTTGAGCATAAGCTTTCGTGAGTTACAGCTCACTTCATTGAAAGCTTATGCTCAAATAAATTTGTTAGTCTCTAAAGTGCCACAAGTCCTCCTTTTCTTTTTGCGGATACAGACTAACACGGCTGCTACTCTGAAATCTACAGTGACCTTTATATTTAAGTTGCCTAACATTTTCCATTATAAAAGGTTCTTGCATCCTTTCTGCTACAAAAAGTTCTTGAACCTCATTTTTTGCTGCCGGCCTTTGAAATTGGCTTGGAGAAAACCCCTTAGGTTAGAGAAATGCATTTTCTTTGGCCATAAAATTCCATTCAGATCTAGCGGAGATATAAACTGTTAAAAATAATTACTTCTGTATAACTTGTGTTCTTCAGAAAAATTTTGGCTGCCAAAGTAATCTTCTAAAGATAAGACAAATGCTGTTCAATTT